TACAGATCAAATAAACAGGCCACACATCATTTTAAAGTGGCCCTAACGTGCTTTTTCCCCCCTTATTTTCTGACGTATACACTCACAGGCCACCAGCTCAACTTCTTACTAATCCAAATATCTCATCAACCATACACATGAAAGCAACTCAGTGCACTTGGGCATGTAGATGTGGTCTTAGTTTTCCACATTCAGTGAGCTTGTTGTCACTGCATACCTTGCTTTTTGATTTATTGATCACAGAGGCAAGGCCAGAAACCTTCACAAATTTTTCACGATCCAAAAAGTTTCTTTAGCTCTCGAAATACTTGTAATTTTCCATCGATTTTTCACACTTCCTGTGTGTAATGGCAACATCACCAGAAAAAGAGTAGCAGTGTATTTTGCAAAGGCATCCAATAAACCAAATTAGACCATTTGGTGGGCAGGTTTTGGCCTTGGTCCACATCTTTGATAGTTGATCTTTAAACTTGCAGCTTCAGAGAGTTTTTTTTCCTACTTTTCGATATTTATGATTTCAAAGTTAGGGGATGTACTTTATATGATTCATGTGATTACCATCTTATTGGAGTTATTTGCTGGTTTATGTATGTAGTTTTTTTGTGCTGGTTAAAAATAACTGCAAGCTGGTGAGACTTTGACGATGTGTATCTGCTGTGTCCTTTAAAGTAATCGCTCACTTTATCTTCAATCCAGGTTCCTTATTTATATGAGAGTTGAGTGATGAAGAAGATTAAACATTATCTTTTTCGTTTCGCTGTCATGAAAGGGGAAATATACAACAATCAAAATCTAAAGGAAAACAAACCCCAAAAAATGTCCCACATTAGAATCAGCAGATTGTTTTAAACAGTGGCATCGGTCCAGACTCTCACCATCTGTCCATCCCTGCATGCAGTTTAAGCTTCTGATTTTCTGCGTCCTGATGTTTTGAACTGAATGTGTAGCTTCTGATCAGGTGTAATTTCCTCCATTAGTGATCAAGGTTCACACACGAGAAAGGTTGTTTAGTCTCTGCTGCTCGCCGTCTTCCTTCACTCAGGCTGTCTCGCTCTGACCCCGCTGTGAGTCATCTTGCATTTCTCGATGCTGGCAGGAGTGCTGGCTGTTCGCTCTGATCCATGCTGTAGTGGTGCGACGCTGCCTTTGGCTTTCTGAAGGAGGGGTGGGTGGGGGGGAACTGGAGCACAGCTCTGAGCCATAGGCAGAAATACCAGGCCTAACTAGGACATGTCAAAAAACGGGGCTAGTGGCGGGGTGTCTCTCTCGCAGAGAACTTCCTGAAGGGATGACAGGAAGTATCTTGCCGTTGATGAGTTCCGAATTTCTTCTTCTGCTCCACTTATTGTTGATCATTTTGCACCTGGTACCTTTTAACAAATAACACAGATGCTTTTTAGAATTATTGAGCTTTAAAGTTTTGCAGGTGCACTGGTTCTGTTAGTGCTGCACTTCAACAGTGACTCATTCTCCCAGTTTTTTTCTATGGTATGACCCCTTATTACAAAGCAAAGCCTAGTCATCAAGCGTGTGATTTGCCCATCGCACTAGAGCTGCAGATAATGATTCATTTACAATTTTTCTATGGACCCTCTCTGCTTTTCTTTATTTTCTGTCATATATATGCTGTTAAAATGGAGACTGTTCATATAAAGCATGGCCAGAGTTTGAATAATTTGGTCAGTGTCTGTACAAGTAATCACTGTGATCTAAAAGCTCAGATTTTGCGCAGCTCTAAATGCTTTTTCTGACATCGCAGAAAGTTGATATGCCCAATATCCTCCTGAGAACCGAGGAAACAAGTATTTTTCAGTTACATTTTTTGTGATGTCTTGCCTATTTGCAGCTAAAAGAGGCCACCCAAACTCATGAGATGTCCTTGGCCAGGATGTCTTCTTTTGACCTCAACGGTGGTTAATAGGGTAGCTCAAATAAGTCAAAAGATACAGACCAAAAACAAATGTCCATTAAGAGGACATAAATGAATAGGCTGGTTGTCACGAGGATATGGTCATCTCAAAATAGACAAATGTCTCGCTTATTAATCACTCAAGTAAGCACTCTTGTATATGAATCCTGTTTATTGATTTCATTTGCTTACATTTCAACTAGTAAACTTGGTGTAATTTGAGATTAGATACATATAATCAGATTAAATAACATTGTAACCTCTCAGATCCACATCGTGACCCTTTCTGGATGTCCTGAGCCCCATGTGAGCCTTTTTACAACTAGTTTTTCTGTTTTTGGGTGCTAACAAGCTCAGTTAGCACAGTGCAGACTATCATAGACCGAATGGCCCATTTTCCATTCTGGCCTCTACAACATCTCCCTGCACACTCTCACCCCGCTACACTAAGTGCTGCTCCAAACCAACAAATCTTTCCCTTTAAAGTAGGTTACAGAGCCCTCCTACCTTGAGTCTGCGCTGATGCAGGTGTACTAACCTCACTTTGTGAAGGTGTAGGACCTTTTTTATGTCCCATATGCAGGAAACCGCATGCACCAGTGAAGGAGATCTTTGTGATTATACCAGGACTGTTAGAGTAATGAAGAGAATTGATGGGTTTGAACACAGTTTTTGAAAAATGCTTCACACATTATTTATTTTTTTAATGTTTTTGTTATAAATTCTGATATTAAAGACCAAAATGAAGATAAAAATTAAGGCAAATGGGAGCATTTAAGGAATTGTTGGTGATAATGGAGCAAATTTCCATTAATGATTGACAAGCTCTTTATACCTTTATACTGGCATCATGATCTGATAGCGGTATAAATCTCTGAAGATGTTGATTATTAGTTCCTGTTTCTGTCTGAGAAAGTTGAGGGTGTCTTAAAGCTTGCATGCAACTTCATAAGTTTTCGGATGGGCTGTTTGTAGAAATAACTATCAGATAATATGCATTAAAGAACATTGAAGGCAAAGGTTATCACAAAGAAAGAAACTGACCTCTATCAAGCTATACAAATGTTCATTTAATTGGTTGAGGTGTGTATTTTAATATGAGGGTCTATGGCAGACTTGGGCAATTAATTTTCCCACAGGGGCACATGAGGAATGGACTGTTGTGGAGTCCTGGTCCACAACAGTTCAGTTTTATCAAGTGAGAGATATCTAGCTTAAAGTCAGAGTCAATGTCTGAGGGGGAAATGTGAAGGACAGAGTATCTGGATTTGTTAAACTTCATCAATGAGAATGTTGGTTCACATATGATGGTAGATCCAAAGAGAACATCTTTTAATCTTTAGCACTGGCATACAAAACAGCTCCCGGTGTATAAGAATATAAATGCCTATTTCACTTCTGGGTTCTTTTTAGTCACTTGATCTTGTACTGTATCTTTTTCAAAAGTCCACCATTTTTCTGTTTTTCCCATTTCAGCTCAAGCCTTTCCAAGCAAGCACTTACCTCCATGAACAAATCATTCCCTGTCGTAGTCCCTTTCACTGAGTGCATTGCTGCCAGCTCCTCCAAAATCTCCAACTCTGTCTTCATCCCGCTCAGTGTTGGGAAGGTTACTTTTAAAATGTATTCCATTACAGAATACAGAATACATG